CTGACAGGGAATCGAACTGTGATCTCCTGGATCCTAGGTCAATGCTCAACCACTGAGCCATGCCCGGCAGGGCAAGTCTAAGCTCCTTTAAATGGCAGTCCAGTTCTTCATGAACTAGTCCCTGCCCTCGTGTCCCCTACACCCCTCCTTGAAGATGGGTATGTACACACACACACACACACACACAGAGTTCTTCTGCCATCTCCATGAAGGTGATCTCCCAATGAAACATCCACTTCCGTGGCTCCTCGGGCTTGCATGCTCTTTGCTCCATCTAAAAAAGCCTCTTCACACATAGCACTTGTCCAGATTTTACTCAAGGGCAAATTCAACTTTATATGAATAACCTACAGAGGAGGGCACTTGCTATTCTCTTCTCCCATTGAATTTAGTGCATTTCTTATTATGTGTATGTCTCATCGCATTGCTATAATTAATTTCTCCATTTAATTCTGATTCTGCTTTCCCCCTACATGACTTCAGGCCCCCCAAAACCATATACTATGTCCTAATCATTTTTCTGTTCTCAGTAATTGTGACTGCTTCTGGTGCACAGTAATTATTCAATAAATATTTCAAGAAAGGATGAATGGAAGAATGGGCAGATGGATGAATGAGGGGCAGTATAGAACAATGAAGTATAAGTTAGGGGGCCAAAGAGGACTGGGTGTGAGACCCAGCTCTTCCATGTGATTTCGAGTAAGGCACTCAACCCCCTTATATCCCAGTTCCCTAATCTGTAAAGCTTGAAAATTTGGGAAGTAGTACTCTCTAACTCACAGGGAAATGGGAAGGATTAAATGAAATAATGCATGTTAAACACTTAACACAATTCCTGGCATGTAAAAAGTGTTCATTAAAGGCTATTGTTTTTCATTATGAATGGAAATAACTTAGTTCAAATATATTGTAGACATGCAGATTGAACAAAAATTACCAAAGAGGGACGGTTGTTTAGAAGAAGAGGAACTGAAAACTTTCTTTGGAGAGAAAAGGAAAGATAAGCTAGAGAATAGATGAAATCTGGGAAGGTCACCTGAGGCTCTGCAGTTTGAGTATATTGCCCAATATCACTGTTTGAAGCCTATTTTTAAGCAGCCCATTGGAAATGACATTGGGTTAAGGCATTGCTTTTATTGCCCAAACAATCAAGGCTGTTTTTTGGTGTCAAACCAAGCCAAACAGGAACAGCTCTGAATTTGTCTTAAATAATATTCCTCTCTCTAAACAATGCTGACACTAAGCACACAGACAACTTGATCTTTATGAGAACCAAACAGAGATACGCAACATTTTATTCCTGTATTTTCACAGTATTTTTATACCTATTATGGTTAAACTTTCCAGAGTGATCGAACCCTGTTTTGTTGGCCTAATTGCTAAAACGGTTGCAAGTCACTTGTGAGTAAAATTATGCCAAATGTCCTAAACTGTTTACATCTCCAGGCTGCATCTACCAGGATAGGATTGTTTACAGCTACCATCTAGTCTAAATACATTTTAACCCTAAATCCTTCCAAGGTAGTAACAAAGACACCAGCTAAGGAATGAACCACAAAACTTAAGTTTCAATATCTCCATTTCCTCCCCCTAACTTATAAATCAACATTTACTTTGTATTAAGTGTACATTTATTGTCTTCTTTCCACTCATCTGCTCTCTGCCTCTCGTGAATAGCCATGCCTTTTCACGCTCTGGGAGTTTTTATGGCACAATGTCCTCAGTTACATCCTGATTAGAATGGACGTGCCTGGCTTTGGCAATGGGTCAAGGGTGAGTTCATGAAGGTAAGAATGTGATTAATGAACATTCTTATGTTTTAGAACAGTGTTTCCCAGAACTATTGCAAGGAACATTTTTTAAAATGGCTTTCCCTTAAAATGCATGTGTGTACACACACACACACACACACACACACACACACACACACACACACACACACCTAGTCAGTTCTTCATGAATATCTTTTCCCTTTATTTTATTTTCCCCTTTTTAAATAAAGAATACATTTTACTGTGTGTTATTATCTATTAGGTGTATCTTGATATCAAGATGCTTAAGATTATAGAAGCACTATGCTGACTACGGAACCTACCCTCAATTGAAATTAGCACAGTCCATTAATCAGCCTACATTAACCAGTGTAGAGTGAGTCTCCCTTAAAGGTCGGCTACCATATGCTCTGGAAATATCACTCTCAAATACGCCCTCATTTCTTCATTATTCACCCATATTTTAGCTCTTAAAACATATCTCACGAATAAAGTCTCTGTTCAGTGAGTCAGTATAACAACCATAAAAGTGAGTGAACAACCTCAGAATAAACAGGCAAACTGTGTTGTGCCTAAAAGCAACAAATAATAATTGTTTGATTAAATTTTCAGCTTTCCAGAAACTTTTGGGTGTCACAAAATGTAAAATTCCTTGACTTTTACTTATCTTCAATAATGAATGAATGAGAGTATGCTTGAGAGTTGTATATAAATGAGAATAAAGGATAATATTTAAAACAATAAATAATCTAAAATTTATTTAAATTAGGTCGAGATCTACACAAATCCCTGCCCACTTGTATTTATTAATTGTCCTTCAGTACAGCTCTCTCTCCTCCCTCCCCAAATATTTTCACATGGGCATTGTGAAATTCCACGCCGAATTTTAACTCCAGTGCCCATCCCTGGACCAAGTAAACACTCCCTAATGCACAGCACAAATAGAATTCTGTTATCCGCCCTCTACTCCACTAAGACCTCCTAAAATTCTACTGCCAAACCAGACATTGAATGGGCAGTGGGAACATGCGAATGCTTAATATTCTGTAACTTAAGTGAACAAATTATACTTAATGCAGGATTTTTTATATAAATATTATTTGGACCCAGAAATCTTTAATTAGCATGCTTTCATTTGATAGTTTAGAAAACTGAACCTCATAAAAATGTTAAGAGGGCACCAAAGCAGCATTGCCCATTAGCATCTAGCAAAGATTTAGAAACAGTGAATAAATATACTTCCCTAAGTATTAATAAGGGCAGGTTGACAAAAGTTATGCTGGTATAAGAGTTATCCTCCAAGATCGATCAATAATCTACTTCCCCGAGGTTCTGGGAAGTAGAAAATCTAGTTAATTCCATCTGCAAATTTAAATGAATAGTAATAAAACCTGCAGTTAGAATGGAGTGTTCCTATGTGTCAGCTGGGTTCTAAATATTTTTTGTTAAATTTATTTAATCTTCATAACACCCCTGAGTGTAGGTATTATCATCTCCCCTTTCACACAAGTGGAACTGAGCACGGAGGGTCAGGTTGTCCCAGGTCACAACATCGGCTGGTGTGGCAGTCTGCTTCAGAGTCTGCACTCTTTTTTTTTTTTAATATGTTGTTACTGGTTTTTAGAAAGAGAGGAAGGAAGGATAGAGAGACAGAAACATCGATGAGAGAAACACTGATCCGCTGCCTCCTGCACACCCCCTACTGGGGATCAAGCCCACAACCCAGGCATGTGCCCTGCCCGGGAACTGAACCCATGACCTCTCGGTTCATGCATCAGCACTCAACCACACTGAACCACACTGGCGAGGCAAGGGTTCACACTCTTAATCGCCGTAATACGGTGTGTGTGTGGCATCAGTGGGTGATTTTTATTCTTTTAATCCTCAGATACCAAGAAGAGTACCTCCCCCAAGGATCAGACATTGACAAAAGGTTGTCACATGGTGTCTCTCATAAATACTAAAATGGATCACATCACTATCTGAATAGAAATCTAAGAGCAAGAAGAATACATGTAAAACCATACAGCTAAGAAAACCTAGGGAAACAGCTCAAACAGATTACCGGCTGAGAAACCGCTGTGACTCCCCTCTTCAAGCAAACGTATCAGGCAGACAGTAGCCCAGGAGGCAGAGAAGCAGGCACCACCGGCCTCTGCAAATAGCGCCGCCGGGCAACACGGATGGGCACGCAGCAGCCACGTCACGCACCTCCACGCCCCCAGCCAGCGTGGGCATGAAGGAGGGGCGGGTGCGCGCCAGGCTGTCCGGGCACATGTACGTCCCTGTGTGTGAGGGCCCTGGAAGGCTATTGCTAGGGGTTAATATCTAAAACAATGAACAAATAATTCAGATTCTGTATTTTTGTTTTGAGAGTTAAGTAAATATTATTAAAGCTAAGAATTGGGGTGGAAAGAGAAGTTCACTAAATACTTGAATAAACTGCCCAGCCAATCAATGAGTCATTTAGCCGAGTGATTAGTTTTGACGGAAAATGTGTAGACCAAGCTTTAATTCTTTAACTTGATGACCTTCCTTTTTTATTTAAGATAGTTTATTCGTTCTTTAGCCTCTTGTGTACTAGCTGGTAAAGAGAGTCAGGCATTCATGGAGTAGAGGGAGCTTTAAGTTTCCACAGGAAACATCCAATACCAGCATCCACCAGCCTTTAGAAAAAGGCTGCCTAATTAAAAACAAGACAAAAAACCCTGGTAATTCTTTACTCTCTGGGAAGATGAAGGAATATTTCTTCAACCAATAGGTACACTTGTGGCATCTAAGAGAGTCAAGGTCTGCCCCATTTAGAAAGGATCGGGAGATATCACTTCTCATAACTACCAAAGACAGTAAAGAGGAATCTATAGAAATTGCTACAGTCACATCTAGAATGTGGATATTTGAAAACCACTTATTATAATATGAGCGAATCACTGCATTTAAAGAATAGCAACAGGAAACCAGACCAGACACCGATGCAGACAGTTTGCTTTGCACTCTGCAACAGTTTCCAGCCACACTGCTTGCACTTGCAAGCAAGTCTTTTTTCTCTGACCCAGCTGAGCAGAGCCCGAGACATTATATTGCCAGAGATGCCCAAGTTAGATTAAGTTATTCTGGATTTTTCAGAAATCTTAAGAAAGAAACGAGTTTGTCTTTGTCCTTCCAAATCTCTCCCATGACTTACTTGCCCATTCCCTTTTCAATACCCAGTGAACTCCTACTGCTTACTTGGGATATTTTCTGGACTGAATGAAGGGCAGAATCTCAGAGTCTTGACTGGATGGAGGAAGCAGTAAATCTCGAAATCGTTCTGTCAAAAGAAAAATAAACATCAAGCTATAAAAAAAGCCATGAAAATAATTTCAAAATAGAATTATTGCCTATTCTTTTAAATGTGTCAACTATCTGACTGTGCATCCTTGATTAGAAATTTACCCACTGTTTCTATACTACTAAAATATATCTATTTCACTTTAATGACTATATAACTTTTTATGATTATATCACAACAACTGCAAATATAAAAATAGCAAGTGTTTACTAGTATAAACTAGTAAAATATTATAATTGAAAGATTAGAGGAAACACATGTGGCCAATAAATATACCAAGAGATGCACAATCTCATTAGTAACCTGGGAAATGCAAACCAAAATCACACACCATTAGGTAGCACCCCCATTACACGGCATGCAACTGATAGAAATTAATCTCACAAGACCAAGTGTTAGAAAGAATGTGCATCAGTGTAAGCTTTCTATATTTCTGGTGGGAATGCAAGTCGGTGCAATAGCTTTGGAAAACAATTTGGCATTATCTTTTAATTTTAACCTTTGCATACCCTATGAGTCAGTATTTCCATTCCCAGATACATACTCTGAAGAAATCTTCACGTATGTCCCAGGCAGCAAGTAAAAAACGTTCATAGCAGCACTGTTCATAATAACACAGGTAAACAACTCGGCTGCCCATCCATAGGAGAATGGACAATATGTAGCATATTCACACAATGGAATATTAACTGAAATAAAACTGAATGACTTCAGTTACAAATAAAAACATAGTGAAACATATCAGTATGATGTTTCGTGGAAAAAAATACAAGCAGATTACATATATAAAAGAATATCATTTTTTGTTGAGTTAACAAAAACTAAGCAATATATTGTTTAGGTATGTATATATGGAAAAAAAACAATGAAAAAGGAAATATATACACAACTCAAGATAATAGCTACCTTTTAGGAGGAGTAATGGGATTAAATTTTAAAAGCAAAAAAATAGGTGTAATTGTTAATATTTCACATGAGTGAATGAATTAGCACATGAGGGCCAGGGACTGTCCAATGATAATTTAGCCCATGAACCAAGAATTTGATTTTAAAAATTCTGCCCTTATGCAGTTGGTAATGAAGGAAGGAGAGAGGGTGGGAGAGAAAAAGGGAAGGAGGCAGGAAGGGACAAAGAGAAGGGGTAAAATACGGAGGGAGGAGAGAGGGAGGGAAACAGAAAATGAGAAAAAAAGAGAAGGCAAAGTGGAGGAAGGAAGAGCCCTCCGTCCCTCCTCAGACCTGGTTATACTGTAAGCTATCTGTGCCGCATAACCTACCACCCTAATCAGGACCCCGTATTTCTAGGACTGGACATTCATCGCCTCTAGAGTCATTCCTAATGCAAGGCTTCCCTGATCCCTGCTTTCTTCCTCTCCTCCTACTGGGTCTGAAATCGATGGCCCTGCTCTGTACTCCTAGAACACTCCTCTCACCGAATCTATCACACTACATACTTTTTGTTATATGGTAGATATAAAATCTAGGTGATGGGCACAGTGTCACCAGGATAGGGAACATAATCCGATGCCTACATATTAAGGTGCTAGGTAAGTATTAGCTGAAAGAATATTTACAATTTCCAGTTTCTGCTGAATACAGAACACTGCTTGCCAAGGTTAATCACCCAACTGCTATCAACCCTGAGAAGCTAGGGGACCTGTCCTTCAGCTGCGACAGTCAGGCCATCAGGCTGGGACAGAGCACGAAGCTGAAACTCCACTTTGTACGGAGAGTTTCTATCATGTTCTCAGCGACTATTGGGTGAGAGTCGTGCTCATTGTTAAAATGAAATGCTCTCAGACACATTCTTTCGGACAAGTAACAGCATCTAGCCTGGGCCAAAGCGGGGAAAAATAAGGTGTCCCTGCAGGTCCACGAGGTATTCTAGCCGGTGGCGCCATGCCCGTGATGCAGTCCATGAGATGGCACAGAGCCACCATGCCTCCAGGCAAGAGTGTCAGTGAGACACTGTCATTTAGGCTGGCATGGCAGTGCATAAGAAACAGAGGTGAAACACTTTACCTTAATGAATATAGAGTTGCCTGAATACTCTTATTATACTGGTTTTGCCCTTTATTTTGAAGTATCATAAATCATTTCAACAGTAGTAAGCTAAAAAAGATAATGAATAATTAAACAGTAAACATTATACTATTTTTCTCTTTCAAGAAAGATGGTGATGAGCGTGTAACTTGAATAAAATGTTTGTCAACATTTGCCATCCACCTGGAGGCCATAAGCATTTCACTGAACACATGGAAGTAAACAAATCTGCTGATGTTGGATCAGCATCTACTCAAAAGTTATGGATCTTTTATGAAAACTATGGCCAATGATGAAAATTTAATGCATAAATGTTTAAAAGGTTCAATAGGGGATCGATGTCATGAAATAAAGAAATAACCTGACAATAACTGGAATCCAGGTGGCTGTTTTTGGTAGCGTCAATCAAGTTGAAGATAGGCTATTCGTCAAAAGATGATAATGAAGTAATTCTAATTTTACAATATTGCTCAAAATCAAATCATTAATACATGGGAATATGGGTAGGAGTGAGGAGTGAGTGCACACTAAGTGTTCACAAACATCTTAAGCTCTCTTACACTCTTTCCAGTGACTGTGTATCTCAACATTCTCTACTGAAAGGCAGCATTTACCCCCCCAGAGCCTCTAGCTTGTATTCGCAAGTTAGGAAGCACAGGTGCGTATTCTATTTCTCCTTCCTCTCTAACTCAATTCCCTGCTCTTTCTTTCTTTTTAAAAGAGTAAAGCCTATCCCTTCCAGCGAAAATTCCTCTTTCTCACTTCTCCATTGAGTCATTTTCTACCCAAGCCTAACTGTATTACAAAAACCCAACAATAGAATAGTTCCAAAAATATTCTTTTCTTTAAGAAAGTTAATTTCAGGAAAGCTGGTAAAGGCTGGGGGTGAGGTCCCTGAGCACATACACATTAATAATTTTTATACAAATCTGAAAGAATGGGGTATAACTATTGAGTTAAAGAAGAAACAATGGCATATAAGAAGTCAATTTAAGACTAATAATAAAGCATGGAAAATGTTCCTTTCTACCTAAAAGTCCAAAACAAAGAAAGTAAATTAAGAAAAAAAATAGCATAAAAGAGAGAGAAAAAGTTATATGGATAAAGGGATTCTGAGAGTGACTAAGCATGTTTATTCCAATTATGCGTTCTGGAATTGGGGTGGATGCAGGGAACCACTGGGCCCATGGTGACACAGGCTGAAGCCAAAACTCCATTACTTTTCCATAAGCCCTTACTGTTATGGGTCTACTACAGTAATGTTTTGGTTCTTCAGGAAATAGTATTTCTTTAGAGTCAATGTTCAGTTCCTCCGAAGTTGAATTATTTCCCTTTCACCAACGCTGAGTCACTCTACCAACAGCTACAAGGTAAGAGGATTATTTTAGTTTAATTTTTGACATGTACAAGGGTCCTTTCTCTAAGGGATGTCACCATCCTTTTATTAAAGGGGCTCAGATCTATAGACTAACTCAAATCTGGGAAATGGATGAAGGGCTGCCTGAGACTCTCTATTGAGATGATTCAGGTCACACCTCTATTTGCCAGCCCTAGAGTTTTCTTTTCATTTGTACAAATAAAGTTAGAATTTACTAGGTCATCCATCTATTTGAGTCCTAAGGACACCGTGTTCAGTTATTCAACACCAAAGATGTCTAGAGGTCAATCCATTCTGATCACTGTTCCAGCCAAGCTGCCCACTATGGTAACCACACCCAGTTCCAAGTAAGTGCTGCCTCTTAGCACCTGCCAGTCGGAAACCTCATCATCTCCACTGAGTTCACAGAGCCCCCTTCAACGATGGCCTCTTTCACTTGTCACTCTCAGCCCACAATCAGCTACCACAGAGCCTTTCAAGGGTTCTAGAATGCCTGTCCTTAATATATTTCTCACAGCTGTAGTGAAAGAATTCTTCATGAGAATTTAGCTAAGGGGTTGACAAGCTATCATAAAATTCTCTCCAGCATTTTCATCTCTCTAAGGTGTTGGATGGCTTCAACCACAATTATCTAAGAAATCTATAAGCACATACAACAAAGAGTCAAGACTGAATATGTCTAAGGATTTCAGATGAAAGAAAAAAAGGCATTAACTTTTGTGTTATTAGTATCTCATTTAATAATTTTTTTAAAGATAAATGTGTATGCTATCAAAAACATACAAAAATCTTCAAGGACACTTGTCATTCACAGTCTGTACATTATAGCTTTTGTAACTGTCTGCTCTTCCACCTGCAGAGGACACAACGCTGATGCAGAAACACATACACACTCACTGTTTAAAAGAAAACCTACAAGTTAATTTTCTTCATAACATTTAAGAGATATTATTTAACTATGTAAACAAAAGATACACATCTAAAATTTATTTTTTCAGCAAGTATTTATTGATCATGTACTAAATATCAGGTACCAAGTTAGGTCCTTAATATGCTAAAGGTCCAAGAAAGAGCACATATGTGTTATCAAAAGTTATATATACTAAAAATAAATAAGTGTTATGTGCATACTCCAAGAGACCGAAAGAACAGAACAGCCAACTTTGCCTGGACACATTGGTAACAAAGAGCAAAAGAATCAACAAAATGTTATTACAAAAAAACAACAACAGTGAAAGAAACCTAAAAAAAAGTCCTTCTGATCCCTGGTGCTAGAGAAAGTGAATAATTTTGCTAATATTTTTGCTGTTTTCTATATTTTAATATCTAATGGCAGAGAATTTAAAATTAGTAGTAAGACTAAAATTTTGAGGAGAAGGAAATTTTATTGATTAAATCATACTTCATCCACTCTCTCAACAAACTTTTGTTAAGTACCTATTGTTTGCCACACACTTATTCTCAAGGGCAGCCCTGTTTATTACAAGGAAATGTCAGGACGACAAAAGAATAGCAATGCCATTACAGCTACTTATAAAAGAATTGAGAATGCAATTAC